ATGATGGAGATTTAAAACAGCACTACCAAGAGCTTTGGCAATAGCACATGATGTGTTTTAGTCTTAAGGATGAGTCTAAGAAAATAAAATGAAAGGAAATATAGTCATAACTCTAAGCCACCTGGCAAAAGAACCCCTAATTAAGTGCAGGATAGGCTACAATGCAGACAACTGGGCATAGACCGCCAAACTGTTCAAGGGAAACATCTGTGGTCAAGCATTGGCTGTAACCCCAGGTCTGACAGCTGGCCTAAAGCCCAAGGAAAGCAACATTCTTCTGGGGATACACTTTACTTAAATGCAAAAATCAGAAGCCTTCAATAAGCATTAAGGACAGAAAGAAGTTCAAATCCTGGTAGCCATTACAGCAAAAGGCTGAAATTCTAGGAAATGCTCAGAAGCAGTGGGCATCTTAAATCCCAAGTTGTATCCCAAGAGGGAAGAAGAGCTCCCAGCAATGCCAGCATTCCCCATGGCTCACAAAATCTGTTTACTTACTTACTGTGCATGCTGCTAGAAACTGATATGTGTCAGTAGGCAAAATGAGTAATGCCTCCAATGCTTCGATATAAAATGACCACCAGGGGCATCTTCCTTGTCCATGAGCACCATAAGCACAATAAAATATAAACTGAGAAAGAACTGTGTCTCATGCTATCTTGTTAGGGTATTATTTCTAGATACTCTCACCAGAACCTGGTTCATAGGTCATAGCTACAACATAAGTAGGATGGATCATCTAGGAGCAGCATGGTGGCTACAGGAAGCAGAATAAATATTAGACATATTTTCAATAACTGGCTGATTTCACCCGCTGGGAAGGTTATTCTTTTATCTCCCTTTGAGAATAATCAAGGATTCCAGAACAGACTCAGTAAAAGGTCTAGTCGTTCTTCTTTCTCTCTGCTCTGTCTGGATGCTGGCATTGTCAACTCTGAAGGAGTAAAAGTCTCTGTCAAGTGTAACTCTAGGTTCTGATGCAGCTCACGCACCGTAATCATGGAAAGGATTACACTAGGGAGAGCAGGGAAGCTATGAGGTTCAAAAGGTGTTCTCTGCTTATGTTTCTGTCTGGTTGTTTACATGTTTTTGTTTTTAATGTTCCCTCAGAAGATCTATCACTGACAAAAATTCCTCCTTCTGCCAACAGCACAACTGGAAAAGTAGGAACTAGCTGGCAAACCAAATGAATACCAGGTGAGGACAAGCAAAAGAGAGAAGGGGAGGGGAGGAGAGAAGGAAGAGTAGGGGAGAAGAAGAGAAAGTGGGAGAGAAGGAAATGGGAGGGAAAAGGAAAGGGAGTAGCCTCAACAGAAGCAGCATACATAAGTATATAATGCCATTCTCAGAAGCCATGTGTTATTAATCTCAGTGTCAGGTATGGGATATCTCCATAGAAATTATTGGCCAGAAAAATCCCATGGTATCCTAAAGTAAGACCTACTAGTACCATTCTTCTAAGCTGACCATCAGAACTGATCAGTAAGAGTCTGCTGATGAAAACACATGCTCTTGGTTACAAAACAGTAAAACGATGCTGGAACTATACTAGAAGCTTCCTCCCTGCTGGTTAGCTTTCATAGTGCCAGCAGTTGCTATGCTGGCAGCTTGAGGAGAAAAGTCAGCAATGGTTTTTCCCACTTTGGACATAGCATGATGTAATATCCACTTTCCCAGCAAACTGTGCCTACTGGTGTAATAGTGGCACACTGCTATGGAGATAACCAGTTGATTGTTGATTGAATCAGCTGTCTGCTCCACTGGAAGGAATTCATGCCCAGTACTGGGGATCTGATCAGAGACTGATATTTGGGGTCACAGGCACTAGAGATGAAATTACTACATTAGTAGACTAAATGGACATGTTGTCAAGATCCTTTCTAGATATTAATGTTTAAGGCCCACACTAGCACTGCTTTGTCTTAATCAATGACGCTTGTATTTCCAGTGAACAGCAGTTAATGCAGACATTTGTGATTGATCAAGGCAGGGCTAAAAACAAGTGACTGGAGAATTCTCGGCCTTAAATGAAACACCCAAGTCAGTTCTTAAGGCACATTGTAGAAGAAGGGGTCGAAAGAATACAGTCAATGGGAAGTGGGCAATGAAGCTCTGTCTTAAGGGCATGGCAAGGCTGTGGCAATCACAAATGCACAGCAGCTATTGTTGCCTGCACAGAGTTGACACAAGACAGTCCATCAATATCCAGTCATAGATGAAGGAGGGGCACAAGGGCCCATGCCTGTCTAGGAGAGCTGATAGTAGGTGAGGACTGCTGGGCAAGAGAAGTCAGTGTCTCAGTGATATGACCAGTGGTGAGCTATTCTCACACCCATGGATAACTCCAAGGCCCATTCCTTCTCAGGCAGTCACGGTTATACTCAAAAAGATTAGGAAGTAGGATGGAAACTTGGAGAGAGGGAGAAGGGAGAGTGGAGTTGTAAGGGGATAAGAGAGCTGACAGATAGGTATGACCAGAATATATTATATAAAATGTAAAACTCTCAACAAATAAATTAATAATGACACAGGGAGAAGGGGGAGAAAAGAAGGGAAGAGAAGGATGTGGAGAGGACTAAGTTCAATTTCCCTGGGAGAACCTGAAGCAACCAGTGCTTTATTCTTTACACCTTCCAAACTGTACCTCATTCAAAGCATTAACTACAAAGTAAAATAAAGATCATATATCAGCCACCAAGTGACTCTTAACATCAACAACAAAATACATCAAATTCTGTGAGTGGCAGAGTAAGAACACTGGGGATACTAGTGTGTGAAATCAAAATAGTAAAGACACCAAAGAGTCATAGGAATCAATGATCTGCTGCCAAAACATCACATATAATGGAGAAACAAAGCCCTATGCTTACTTTCTCAAAATTTCCTTTCCAGAGAAAAATTACAGTCACTATCTGTTTCACAATGTGCCGACTGTGTAGAACACTGGTTTCGCCACAAAAATTTCCAGACAACAAATAGCAAAAGCCATTACCAACTTGTTAAATATTACCATTTTTAAGAATTTATAGGCTTTTCCTGGGTGGTAGTCTGGGGCACCTTTGTCACATATCATTTAATTTCTGAAAATCTTATGGCAAAAGAATGAACTGCCTATGGAAACATGGTGGAAACCATAAAAACATCTTAGGTTCCTAAAAATAAGCAATTAAAACAGTCTGCTAAATAAGCACAGCATCAATAACATTTTCCACTTGGATTACAGTACAGGCCACTCCTAGTTTCTGCTCTTGACTCTTGTGATAAAGAAAACTTTTAGAATTCTTTTTCTCACAACTGCAATGTCACCAACACTGTCAGTAATAGTAGGATGCTTCTATGTATGTTTTGATTGCAGACAACATGTTATGATGGATTTATATGTCAACAGCTAAGTTGTAGTACTACATGAATGAACCAAAGACTAACCCTGATATTCTGTACATTAAGTTCACTTTAAATCAAAGAGATTACCCATCATAATATGTGAGATTCTAACTGGACTGGTCCGTGGCTTTAAGAGAATGATGGCAAGTTTCCAAAAGCACACTGCCTTAGACAAATCAGCTTTCATCTGAGTTTCCATCCTGTTGTGTCACCTTCTGTGTTAGTTACTTTTCTATTGTGATGCAACATAATGATCAAGGAAAATGACAGAAAGAAGGGTCTGGGATAGAGGGGCTTATAGTTCCAGAGGGAAAGAGTGCATCATGGCAGGGAATCTTGACAGCAGATGGCAGACATAGTAACAGAAACCACTAAGATCTCACATCTTGTACAACAAGCTGGAAGTAGAGAGAAAACTGGAAATAGTACATGGCTTTTGAAACCTTAAATTCCACTATAAGTAACAGACTTCCTTCAGGAGGACACACCTCCTAAGCCTTCCCAAACAGTGGCACCAACCTAAAACCAAGTATCCAAACATCTGCTCCAATGGGGGTCATTCTCATTTAAATCACAGCACTGCACATTTCAGATTCTCACAACTGCATGATTTAAACCTTGAAATAAATCTTTTTATGTGCTCCAAGGCAGCCTTGGATGCATGAAACCCTATCTCAAATGCAAACCAATACAAAACAAAAACACATTTTTTTTGACTTACAACCTCTATCTTTCAACCCATCTACACAAGCTTCAGCTCTTGCCCACCTAATAGAATACTTGCTGCTGAGGTCTTCGAATTTCCCTTTCGACTATCTCCAAGCCTCTGTTTCCCTAGTTCTAATCCGTAGGTCCTTCTTCTAATCAATACAAGCCAAAAAGTAATTGAAACTAGGATAAGAAATTTGCATAATAAATAAGATACACTCCCATATGCAAATCCCACAGAAAAGAAACTTTATATGGTTAAAGCAGTTTACAACACCCTAGTTCCTACATGTACACTCCAAAGTTAAGTATAGCTTAAGTGTGAAGTGTGCATTGAACAAGGAATGCAAAGTTACTTCTATATCAGTAGAACTGCAATCGGGAAATAAAGGTTAAAAAAAAAAAGCACAATTTCATTTACAAAAATCCAGGTCTAAATTCAGTGCATGTTCACTTTGAAATCCAAACATTCTTTACCATTTTGGGGAGACAATAGTTAAATTTCAGAGTTCTAAAAGAATTGTGTAGAAGACTATTGCAGCAGTCTAACGTTTTTAATGTTGACCGTTATGAAGACGGTCTGGCAAGATGACGCCACAGCCCATGCTGCTCTGCCAAGGGTCAGATTGTTTATCACCACCTTTAACTCCAGCTCCAGAGGATCTAACACCCTCTTCTGGACTCTACAACCTCCTGCACTCACGTGTCCACACACACAAACATACACACACACACACACACACACACACAGTTTAAAAAAATAAATCATTAAAACAATAATGCAATAAGACATTTCAGGACATAAAACTAAACTGAGACCAATATTGATTCAATGGCCTTACTTCAGTATAATACCATAGTACCATACAAAGGGGAACAATCCCTGATGTTTAACAATCATACCTTACCTCCCACATCAGTCGATAGTCCATATTTTCATCCAAGTCTTCAGGCATTCGCTTCTCACCAGCAAAGGGTCCAAATTTTTCACCCTATGGAGCAAAAATTACATTGTAAAAGCATCAATGTAATAATCAGCTACTAAAATAAACCAATTTGTCACCTAGAATCTTTGTCATCCACCTCTTCACTTTATAAAATATTAACTATATAAACAAACTACAAAGCTAATACAAAATGTTTCTATGTTTTTTAAATACAGTTTAATCTGCTTTTGTCTAAAAGCTTCAACACACAACACAGAAGCCAACATAAAAGGGTTAAACCGCTCTGCTTTCAAATTCTGACATCTGAAGATCATACTCTATGCGTCTATCTTCCTCACAGCCTTTAGCAGGGGTTAAAATGAAAAGCACGAGTGTTGCCTAACTTGAGAGACAAGCCCACCAGCCAGAATATCACCTAGTTTCCATAAAAATCATAAATCATCCTATTTTGCACAAGAAATAAACATGCCTACCATTCTCAGAGGAAGGCTGTTCATAAATAAAATTTAAATTTGCCTGTCAATCTTTGCAGCAGCTTGGTTGTCATACTTGGAGAAGGTAGTATCAAAATTTGTTCTTTGAAGCCTACTGCATGAGAATCATTAGCTTAGTTGTTACAAATGCTGAGTCCTACACTTTGTTAAAACCTGTCTCTGGAAATCAAATGTAGAGGACAGAATTCTGATGGATACCCTGATGAGAAGCACAAGTAGAGGCCTTATAAACCATAAGAAAAAATCAAGTGTATAACATGAAGTCCTTATCTGTCACCTGTGTGGCATAGACTCTGCAGTGTATCAGCTGTGAGGTGTAGACTGTGAGGTGCAAACTCTGAGTGCACCGACTATGAGGTGTAGACTCTGAGTGTACTGACTGTGAGGTGTAGACTCTGAGTGTACCTACTGTGAGGTGTGGATTATGAGTGTAACGACTGTGAGGTGTAGACTCTGAGTGTACCAACTGTAAGGTGTAGACTCTGGGTGTACCAACTGTAAGGTGTAGACTCTGGGTGTACCAACTGTAAGGTGTAGACTCTGGGTATACTGAATGTGAGGTGTAGAGTCTGGGTACACCAACAGTGAGGTGTAGATTGTGAGGTGCAGACTCTGAGTGCACCGACTGTGAGGTGCAGACTGAGTGTACCAACGGTGAGGTACCAACTGTGAGGTGTAGATTCTGAGTGCACCAACTGTGAGGTGAAGACTCTGAGTGTACTGACTGTGAGGTGTAAACTCTGAGTGTACCGACTGTAAAGGTGTAGACTCTGGGTGTACTGACTGTGAGGTATAGACTCTTGAGTGTACCGACTGTGAGGTGTAGACTCTAAGTGTACCAACTGTGAGGTGTGGACTCTGGGTGTACCGACTGTGAGGTATAGACTCTGGGTGGAAGACTGTGAGGTACCAACTGTGTGGTGCAGACTCTGAGTGTACTTACTGACTGTGAGGTGTGGACTCTGAGTGTACCTACTGTGAGGTATAAACTCTGAATGTGCCAACTGTGAGGTGTAGACTCTAGGTGTAACGACTATGAGGTACAGACTCTGGGTGTACTGACTGTGAGGTGCAGACTCTGGGTGTACAACTGTGAGGTGCAGACTCTGGGTGTACTGACTGTGAGGTGTAGACTCTGGGTGTACTGATTGTGAGGTGTAGACTCTGGGTGTATGGACTGTGAGGTGTAGATTCTGAGTGTACCGACTGTGAGGTGTTGACCTTGCTGTGTCAGTTGTGAGGTATGGTCTGTAAATGTGTGGAAACTTATCAAGCCATATGTAATATTCAGGGACAATTATATTTGTTCATGTGTGTACATGTGTTTTAAGATGTAGTCTCATGTACCCCAAGATGGCCTCCAACTTTACATACCTGTTTATCCAGGTATGTGTGTGTGTGATAGAAGAGATACAACCATTGTAGTATTGAGGCAGACACTGAGAAGTGTTTTTACTAAAAAGTCCTGTTCCTCTCTTAGGTTTACAAGATAACTAAAACCATAAAGAAAGCCCAGCTTCCCTGTCTTTGCTTTGTGTTTGTACTCTCTTTGGCAGAAAGCATATAGGGATGCTATTGTCCTTAAATTTTGTCTCAACTCACTTTAAACATCAAGAAGAGCGAAGCCTGTCTCTGGATGAGGATGCACCTCAGGCATTAACAGACAAACAAGGTGACAGTCTAAAGAACTACCTTGCAGGACAGATTAGACCTAGAGAATAACAAACTTTAGGACCACACCTCACTAAGATGGTACCATTATGCATGTTTCCTGCCCTCTGTTTAAACCTAAACCCCATGGCAGCAGCCCCAGACAGCCTTGTGTCATTTACACCCTCTTATTCATTCCTCTTGCTAATGTGGCCCATCTTCTCTCTCTGCTTTTTCCCATTACCCCTCTGTAACTTGGTATGTTGTGGGTGGTAGGCCAAGTCCAGCTTTTTGGAGCTGGGAAGTAAGCTTTTCACCCTAAAAAATTATCCAGAAAGAGTATGTGGTCCCTGATCAGATCTTGGTTCACAAATAAGCAGTTATTAAAAATAAAATTAGAGACAACTGGAATAAAGTGAATATGGGCTGGTATCAAAAGGCATTTGGAGATTACTGTTTTGTCAAACAATAAAATAATATTTGAAGTACTGTGTATTATTTAGTTCATAAATAAACACGTATGTGAAGAAGATGTAAATTATAACTTCAGAACAAACCTGAAGTTGAAGCATGTATATCTGAAATAATGATAGTTTTTTTCACAGGAGTTTAAAGTCTCCTTTAGAACATGATTATGTCTCACTGTTAAAGTACTGTGCACAAATATGCTTTTATAATATAATTATGCCTCCAGTTCAATAGGAAGATCACCCAATCTTCTCTCCTTGTGAATGTAAGACAGAGTCTAAACGCCCCCTAAATCAGTTCACCTTACTATTAAAACTTTGACCTTGTTATGAATATTAATGTAACCAGGTTTAAAAAAAAAAACCTACCTGGGTGAGAGAACTAATAACCTAAATGAAGACATCCTATCCTGTGGGACTACCTCAGAAGTTCTTAATTGAATTGAAGTTAAACTGCAAAGTCTATCCAATGGCTCCATTATTATCTCTTTCTCCCCACCTGGAATCTAGGCACAACTACTATTCACAATTGCTATTGTAGGCATCAGGGGAAAAAATGCTATGATGTCCATAACTCTTCATTCTGCACCGTAAGTGTATCATATAAAATACTAGTGAAAGGAGCAGTACAGAGTTGTGAATAAGGGATGGTGGAGGTACACAGAGATGATACACAGATACACAGACAGGCATAGATATAGGCATAAGTATAGAGAAATATCACAGCAGAAAGCAGTGTATTTTTTTTTCTGCTCCCCTTTCTTACATACTTGATTTTCTCAGCAAAGCACCTGTATTAGCATCTACAAGCAACGTGTAACAGTAACGTCGAAAAGAACCAGCATGAGGCTAACAAGAGTTGGAAAGAACCAGAACCAGCATGAGGCTAACAAGCAAGAAGACAGGTAGTAAGAAGGCCTGTACCAGTCACTGAAAACTAAAGAGTTAGGAAAAGAACTTCAAAGTCAGACATGATGTGCAATAAAGTCCACGGAGGCCAAAGAGTTGACTGATGGGACTCAACAGCCTACTGCCACCTGCAGAACGGACAAAAACTGTCTAAATGAACAAGATTCACTTGCTAGAGAGAGTGAAATCAAACTGAAAAAAATAAGGCCAAAGTCAGGGTGTTAAGAAAAGAAAGGCAAACCAACTTTTCCTCAGATGGAACCCACAGCTGCAGAAATACTAAGGGCTAGAGATACAGCTAGTGAGTGAGGACCTATTTTGTATGCTTGAAGGCCTGCCCCATCCCACACAGCAAACAAGAAAACTAATTATAATAAATAAAAAGATTATGCATGGATTTTCTAATGAAACTTAAAGACATTGAAATACAGAAACTCAAAAGACTTTTTTAATAAAAACTTACTTGAATGAGGATTGGTTTGTAGTGTAGGTGCATGTATGTATGCACCTTCCTATGTGTGGGGGATACCTGTGTGAGAGTACATACATGTGTGTGCATGTCTGTGGCCAGAGGTTGACAATGGGTGTCTTCCTCAACTGTTTTCCACTTTATTTAGTGAAGGTCTCTCAGGGAATCCAGAGCTCACCGATTTGTCTAGTCCCACTGCCTGCTTGCTCCATGGACCCCTATCCCCAGTCTCCCAGACTCTGGATGACAAGTGAATGGCAAAGTCCCCAGCTTTTGTATGCAGGCATTGAAGATCCAAATTCTACTTTTCTAGTACTTTGTCCATTCATCCATCTCCCCATCACCATTAATGAAAACGTTTAATAATTAAAAAAACATTATTTCACAATTGGATATTTTTAGAAAGTGTATTGAAACATGGGGAGAAAGAGGAATCAAATTAAAGACGTATCTCAAAGGAAAACAAAGAGGTGAGATTAAGATTTCTGGAGAATAGTTCAAGGGCAGCTCCAATCTATATAGTTCAGAGGATATTTAAAAAGTAGGTTGGAAGACAGTAATTGGGAAGCCAGTTTCGAAAGCTGAAGATAAATCAGCCTCTGTAAATCAAATGGTCTCATTCATTACCACACCAAGTGACTTCAGAGGTACTGTCATGCTAGGCAACCTCAGCACTCACTCTTGTATCATGAAATCAGAGTCACCTCCATACTAGGTAAGGTGATGTCAGAGGAATTCATTTGTATTAGGTGAACTTGGAGGCACTCACTTCTATGTTAAATGACATCAGAGTCACACCTCTTTTGCTAGGTGACGTAAGAGTAATTCACTCCGGGCAAAGTGGCATCAGAGCCTAGACAAACTCTAATAAACTCTCTGAACTTTAGAGATAAATCAATAGAGCTGGCAAGATTTCCAGCAGCTAAATTAGGATGTTATCTGTAAAACACAAAGCACCAACCAATATAAACAATCAAATGAGACCTTGAGAAAATGTTCACTAAATATAAAAACAAACAAAAAACATTGAAAGTCATTTAAACAATTCAAGGTATA